TTATAGATATTGTCCCAACCTTGCATCCCTGGAAATAATCTCACTTGATCATGGTGTGTGATTTTTTTTTAATGTTTTGCTAGATCTGGTTCACTAATACTTTGTTGAGGATGTTAGCATCTATGTTCATCAGGGATGATGTAATTTTTTTTGTAATGTCTTTCTTTGGTTTTGGAATTAGGATAATGGTGGCATATAAAATAAATAGACTCCCTGGCTTTGGGAGTCTTTTCTCTTGAATATTTTGGAATAGTTTGAGGGCAGGTTTTAGTTCTTTGAATGTTTGGTTAAATTCATCTGTGACACCATTTGGTCCAGGACTTTTGTTTGTTGGGAGCTTTATGATAACTGCTTCAATTTCAGTAGTTGTAATCTGTGTCTTCAGTTTTTCTGTTTTTTTCCTGATTTGGTTTTATAAGATTGTATGTTTCTAGGAATTTATCTATTTCCTTCAGATTGTCTAATTTGTTGGCATGTAATTATTTTTACTCTTACAGTCCTTTGTAAGGATTCTGTGGTGTCAATCCTCTTTCATTTCTGATTTTATTTATTTGGGTCCGCTTTTTTCCTTAATGATTTTTCATTTCAGATATTATGTTCTTCATTTCTTGTTTTGGTTTCCTTATGTGTTTCATGTCTTTTTTTCATACTGTTGTTGCTCTAAGTTCCTTGCTCATTCTTACAACCATTTCTTTGAATTCTGTATCTGATAAATTGCTTACCTCTAGAAAATATAGCTCTTTTTCTGGTGATTTCTCATGTTCTTTCACTTGGGGGGGTTTTCTTTGTCTCCCTATTTTGGCTGCCTTTTTGTGTTTGTTTCTATATATTAGTTACATCTGCTATAACTTCTGGTCTTGGTAGGGTGGTCCTATGTAGTGGGTGTCCTTGGGGGACCAGTGGCACAGTTTCCTTGATCACCTGAGTTGGGTGCTCCAGGAATGCTTCTTGTGTGGGTTCTGTAGGCCTTCTTGTTGTAATTGTTTTTATTGCTCTTGGCCCATTCCTGTGTGGTTTCGCCCCTCAGACTGGCTGACTGTGGGATTCAGCCCTGACTACAGTCTGTGAGCTGCTGTGCAGGTGATGACCACATGAAGCAGAATTTGCCTTAGCGGGGTCTGGTGCCTGCTGAGATTTCCCTTTAAATATACTGCTTACGAGGTGAATTGGATCTTACTCTGATGCTGTCTGAAGGTGGCCACTAAGTGTATGGGTTTTGCAGCCTCTTGGGAGGAACCTTGGTGCATGCCAGTGTCAGACACTGCTTGTGACTGGCTTTGGGCAACCAGTTTAGAGCTATAAACTGATCCACAGTTTGTGGCTGCCTCTGCTGGGCATAGGAAGGATCAAGCTGCACACCAAGGCCGGCTTTTACCAGTCCCAGGGGCAGGTCAGCAAAAGTCCCAAGGCACCATTGAAAGAGTCTATGGTGATACTGAAGTCGCATGAGATAGGTTCTCAATGAATCACCAGGTAGGGTCAATATGTGTTCACCAGATCTGATACAGGTTTAAACTCAGTTTCAGTGTTGTGTCTGAGGCCATTTATCAAATGTCCCAGAGTATACCAAATCTAGCTTCCACCTGCTGGGTACTCACACACCTTTGTGGTAGGGTGGGGTATTGGGGAATTGTCATGGTGAAGCCAGCAGATTTTATCAGGGCCAAACAGACCAAGATTTGTCTGTGTGAAGGAAGGGCTCTGCACTGGTGGACGGACCATGTGCAGAAAATTGCCCCCATTCTAGAGCCCCACAACTTAGTGTTCCAGATTCTCACAGGAGCCAAATCTCAGCTGGGTGGGGCTACCTGGAGTTGAGAGGATGGGGCTAATAGATCTGCCAGAAGGTGCCAGTCAGGTTTACAGGAAAGTGGGGGCAATGGCCCCCTCCCCAAAGCCATGCCTCAGTCATTGGTGCCCTTGGAGTCCTCCCAGACCTCAACCACCAGCAGCTAACACCTTCATAGTAGCAAGCTCTGCAGGGTGGGGTGACAGAGAGTTGGGAGCATGGGGCTATTGCACTTCCCCAGGCTGATGCCAAATGGGGGGAGTGCTCCAAGAAGAATGGTGTCTGCATTGTGGGAGAGGAACTATGCACAGTGATCCTGGTGGCTGTCCCTTCAGCTCTCCCCAAAGCCCCAAACCCCAATCTTCCTTCATGTAACTCTAATCTGCTCCGCCCTCCCTCCACCAGAGACCAGGGTGGATGGCTACTGACGAGATTGTGTGCATGTTGTGCGGGCCCTTTAAGAGAGTGACTTTGTTTCTAGAATACCTGCTGCTTTTCACAGGCAGATGTTAGGTGCCTCTTCTCAGATCTGGTATTCTGGACTGGGGAACCTGATTTGGGGTTGAGACCCCACACTTCTCAGGGGGAATATTTGCAGCTGAGATATCCCTCTGGAATCAGCTGCTTCCCGGGGGAGTGTGGCAAGCCCTTTTCACGTCTCTGCCCTTCCGTCCAGTCTCCATGTGGCTTCTTTTGTAAGTTCTTGGTTATAAGACTTCAGCTAGTCCTCAGTTGGTTATTCAGGTTGCTTGCTCTGTATTTCAGTTGTAATTCCAGTTTGGTCCTGGAAGAAGGTGAATGTAACATCCTTCTACTCTGCCACCATCTTGGGATAGTGCCACTGATCTCACTTTATTTTTATGAATGGTGTTGCTGTTTAACATTTTTATGAATGTCATTTAGTATATATGCATACACATTTCTGTTGAATATACATGGAATTGTTGAATGAACCCCACGAATTTTATTAGATTCCCACCAATAGTGTATGAGAGTTCCCAGTGCGGCATAATTAAAATGCAGTTGACCCTTAAACAACACCAGAGTTAGGGGTGCTGACCACTCACGCAGTTGAAAAATCCTTGTATGATTTAGATTGGCCTTCTGAATACTTGGATTCCCCGCCATGGATTGAAAATAAAGTTGACACTTGAAATCTGTGTATAAATGGACTGGGCAGTTCAAACCTGAGTTATTCAAGGGTCAACTGTACATCTGTTTTTCTAATTACTAATCTAAATTGTTACACAGTGGGATTTCATATTTTTGGTCTCTGGCTGCACACAAACTAAATTTTTAACTCTTTATTAATATACAGGGTGGGGCAAAAGTAAGTTTACAATTGTGGGTGTACAAAACACAGAGTTTATTCTTGTATTATTTATTTTTATTACAAATGTAAACCTAGTTTTGCGTACTCCATATATACAGTATATTTAATATCATAAAGTTCCTTTGGGAGAACAGAACTATTACTCTTTTTGGTGGGCCACACAATTAATATAGGTTAAAAATCTGTATGTTATTCTGATTATAAATTAACAAATAACAGATATGGTCTAATGATCTAATTATAACATGACCATGATAGTTGATAACAGTGTATTATATAATTAAAATTGGTTAAGAGAGAACTTAAATGTTCTCACCAAAACAGCAGTTTAAAAACACAGGTAAATATGTGAAGTGATGTATGTGTAATTAACTTTATGGAGGGAATTATTTCCCAATTTATATATCAGATCATCATGTTGTATTAAATATCTTACAGTTTTGTCACTTAGACTACAATAAAACTAGAAAGAAAAATTCAAATAACACAAAAATGAACAGAACAAACTGAAACAGCCTCTCTGTAGTTGGACCATTTGTTACTCTAACGAGTAAGGACAAGGGTTGTCTGTTACACACATTACCTGATTTTTTATCCCCCAGGTTTACTGAGATATAATGGACATATTATTAGTTTGTATGTATTAGTTTAAGATGTATGACATAATGATTTCATATATGTATAATCGTGAAGGGATTACTAAAATACATTTAGCTAACATCACCTCGCATAGTTATTTCTTGTGATGAGAATTTTTAGAATCTACTCTCCTAGCAGCTACCTAATTTTTTTTAAATGGTAGATATGGTATTTGGATAGGGCTGTTTTGATACATTAATTCTATATGTTCCACAAGGCAAATGTTCAGTGTCAGATTATAAATGGTCATCCCCCATAAGGGATAATGGGAATTTTTCCTTAGATCACAGACCAGTACCTATGCAAAACAGTAATTAACTGGTATGGGTCTGGCCTACTGTACACTATTGCAATGCAGTGAGCTGAGTGTTCTGTGGAAACATTAGGCAAATGCTTCATGAAGCTCTTAACATTTATTTTAGAAAAGTAAAGTGACACCCCAAATTTAAAACTTTTATCCCATTTTTCAGAATTAAATCAAGAATTGGGGATACTCTACAATCCAGCATGGTTAATAGGAACACTGGAGGAATAACAAAGCTTTCCCTTATATGATGAAACTTTGTGGCCCTATTCTTTTGTCTTTGTTGTTTTGTCTTTTAAAATTCAACTTTTGCTTTCTCTTATTATTGAAATTTGCTGGGAAGGGGAAAACCGTTTATACTGTAGTACTGAGGAATAATTTGAAGCAGAGCAGGTTTACTTTGAGTTAGGATAGTAGGTGTTTAACACTTGTTGAGTATGTAGATGAGCTCGGGAGTACTTGTCATAGTTGTATGGCATTTCAGTACAGAAAATGGGAGGAGTTTTGTCAAATACAGGTGGGTTGTAAGAGATGCCATATGATGAATAAACAGTTTAAAAAAATAATGACTTAAATTTTTCAGGTTTCAGCCTAAGTAATGTAGATTATCAAAGTCAAAGGCCAATAATTATATTAAGACAATATTTGTTTATGATCCTTATATCATTTCTCCTAAGCAATTTATTATCAAACCAAGATGGCTTTTATTTACATGACAGAGAAATAAATCATGGGTTATCTTGGGCAAATCAGAACATATGATCCACTAATTAAAAGGGACATCAATTTTTTTAGCTTGCATTGGAGATTGTTTGTAAATCTACTTTAACAGATTTTTCTCCCCATCAGTTACACTTTTTAAGTATCACACCGTTTGAAGAAATAATTACTGAATATAAGTACAAACTTTTGTGTTTTTCTAAAATCTATTTTAGGCTGCAAACCAAGGGTCAAAATTTAAAGACCGTCGGCTACAAATATCATGGCACAAGGCCAAAGTGCCTTCTGTATCCACTGAGACTGAGGAAGAAGAAGTTAAGGAGGAGGTAATATAATGATTGAAAATAAGAGTTAGGGAATAAAAAGAAAGAAAAGTTGAATAGATTGTTTCCCAATTATAGATTTTTCTTGACATTAATGTAAATGGTAATAAAAATGTTTTGTTTTTTACAAATTATAGCTTTCTAATTTTTTGAGATGATTTTATTTATTTTTAGAGAGAGGGGACGAGAAGGAGAGAGTGAGGGAAAGAAACATCAATGTGTGGTTGCCTCTTGCGTATACAGTAGTGGGGGCCTGGCCCATAACCCAGGCATGTGTCCTGACTGGGAATCAAACTGGTGACCTTTTGGTTCACAGCCCATGCTCAGTCCACTGAACTACACCAGCCAGGGCTGAATTCTTTCTTGAATGCGACTAGTCTAAAAGTTTATTAAAGTAGGTAACAGGTACAGAAATATAAAAAGCTCTTTGAGTGATTATTTTCTGGTATAAGAGAGACTGTTCTTTTTTATTTGCATTTATTTGCACTCTAGTTGTATTTTTATTCTGGCAAATGAGGACACTGATTATATGAACAAATTAAATTTTAGCTGGTTGTTTTAGCTTTTCATTTTTGGGGGTTGCATAAATAATGGATTTTACTTTCATTCCATTTATGTATAATTGGTTAAAATAACAGTGTAAGAAAGTAAGACATAACAGGGAAGACTAGGAAAGTCAAGGACTTAAATAAGTATTAAATAATCAGCCTATTAAAATATATGAGAATTGATTTTGCTTTTTTACTCCTATATTTCTCATTAGTTTATTAAAATGGACACTCAACCAGCATTACAAATTACTCCTGATTTATGACAATTTTGGTTTAAGAGATATTTAGCATTTATGGTTGATCAAGAGTCTTTTAGCTCCACAGGTAATTTTATGTAACAAAAGCAGAAACATTTCCTTGTTAAAAAGAAGAAAAGAAAGAAACATCTCAGTATTTTGGGAATATTTCTAGCTACTTCTCCTTTGTGTAGCATTTTACATTCTTATATAAGATTTGGAATGTCATTGACATGGGGAAGTTAGTATATTCTCCCCTCATAATAATCAGATATAAAGGAAAAGTTTAGGAATGGTCACTTACTTACTTGCCTCATTTTACTTTTATTTTTCCTACTAAATGTTCACATATTATTTATTTTTCTGATGACATTAGAATAGAAATCCTAGTCTGTTCTAATTCTATTTTCTATTCAAACTAAGCAACGTTAGCAGGGGAGAATATACAGACAGGGTGGGACAAAATAGCTTTACATTTGTGAGTACATAAAACAGTTTATTCTCGTATTATTATTTATTAATCATATTATTTTTTTATATGAACAACTGTAAACCTACTCTTACTTTACTGTGTACATTTAAACATGTTTTAGGGTTTTGTTTTGTATGTGTTTTTTGTCTAGAAAGATACTTGTAAATCCTGCCTGAGCTTTTATATTTAGTCTCTTTGTCCTTTATTCTAAAATGTATTTTATTTAACTTGCTTGTACCACTAAGCAGATTTTTTCCTCTCTTTCTCCAGGAAACAGAAACCTCAGATTTGTTTTTGCCTGATGATGATGACGAAGATGAAGATGAATATGAGTCTCGTTCATGGCGAAGATGAAATCTGAAGCAAGCTGTATAATTTTTAGGAATATTGTTTAGAAGAACAACTTTTTAAATTTATTTAAAGAAGTCAATGAGCCAAAAAAATTTTTTATTTTTCTTTTCAAAACAGTAGATTTAAGGACAGCAAATTTGCTAATTAAATACATCTCATAACTGTTCGTGGTATTAAAGCACCAAAGGCCTAGTGACTTTTATGCAGTTGTGAAGATCCACAGAAATGACATGGATAATCTCTAGAGCCTTACTTTCCACACCATCTGTTTTTGTTGCTATTGGTGTTGGATTATGATGTAAATGACAGGGTGTTCAGAAATCTTATTTTGGATTATAATCTGCTGATAAAATTTCATTAAATGTCAAAGTTGCCTGGAATCTCTTAACTCTTAGCTATTATGGAAGGGTCGTCAGACAATAGGAGACATTTGTAATTAAAATACCCTTTTGCTTTCAAGAGTTCTCTTGGAAGAAAAGTAAATTTATTTTATTTTTTACTGAGGAGGAGCCCAGTTTGTGTTCAGTCTAAATTTTGAGGGGGTGGGGGTTATGTGCACTAGTAAATCCTATTTTAGTGTGAACCGTAACAAACTCTGTGTTCTTAAATGCTATAAGGTAATGATAGCTAGTTCCATAGTATTTTCATTCTGTCATTATAGTAACTCTCCTGGACTTCTGTTGCTGCTGATCCTTAATTTGCTTTGAAATTAGTGAGCATTGGTTCATTTTTTTTTAACATTTTCAGAATATAAAATGTTTTCACCTATTGCCCCTTTCTGTTCCCCATATTCTTTCTCCTACCTTTTTATTAATAGGCCTGACTTACCCGTTATTGAGATAAGTGATTCTTTTAGGCCACCAAGAGTCAACCCCCAATAAAAGTTTAAACCAGCACCTTGATAAATAAGTGTTTTGATGAGAATAATGAAAGAATTTATGGGGGAGAGTCAGTCACAGCTTTTTTTTTTTTTTTTGATGCTTTAGTTTAATAGTTCAACAAAAGGGTTAAAAAAATATCTGAAATTCTTTTCCTAAATTTAAACCATGGTGGTGAGGTGGTAAGGTTGGGGCTGGGGTAGGGTAGGGGGATGGTGTGCTAGTAATAAATGGGAGTCATAACTTGACTTTGATCAGATGACCTTATTTTTTGATAATTTTGTAGCTTGTTGCTATCCATGAACATATGCATCCTTCAATAGACAGTTTCCTTCACTGTGTGCATTCTTACTGTACACTATATAGAATATCTGTTGAGTAAAATATATGTAAATTTATGTCCTTGTGTTCTGAATGTTAGATGGAAAAGCAGAGGAGCAACACTACACTGTATTGACCCTTGGGGAAATAAACGATTAATGTACATAGGATGTCACTTTTTCAAAGATATACACATTTATGTTTTTATATATATGTGATGTGAAAATTTGAAACTTCCTGTTGGCTCCAGAAGGTTCTTGGTGATCACTATATCAACTATTTTGTTTCTTGAGGTAAAGACTGTTTCTCAAAATAGAAACTATTCATTAAGAAACTTAAAACCATCAGGACTCTAGATTTACTTAGCTACAAGAAGTTAAATCTCACGTTCTGATTATCTTTTCTACTCATTTTCCTGGAATGATGTGTCAAACCAGGATCATATTTATGTTCATGTAACTTTCCCTTCATATTGTAATAACAAGGACTTCCTCTTCCTAGGTGGTTGTTATATTTCCAATAACACTGAAACTAAAATAAGCTTATAAAAGAATGGAAAACGTTACAATGGGGTACCTAGAATAAGCAATCTTGCTCCTTCCTCCTCCATCATCTCTAATGAAATTTTCTTGATGTCTGTGGCTCAGTGGGTATATATTTTGAAAGATGCATTGTGGTGAATATTTTGAGTCCTGACAGTTTAAATGTGATAGAGGGAACAAAGGATTTATATATTTTTTGTACAAAGTTTTTTCTTAAACTGTATAATTTTGTAAATAATTTGTTTGGTTTTTTTTTTGTGTGTGTGTGTGTGTACTAAAACTACCAGCGTATAGATTTCAATAAGAATTGTTGTATTTTTGTATTTGGAAACTGAAAATTGCAGTAAATTAATGGAGCTGTAAGAAAATTTTCAGTAGACTGACAGTTCAACAGAATGAGATTCCTTTTCATGTGATTTTTTTAACCTCAAAATTGACATCTTACTACACTCTGTATGGGGAAAATTGAGGGTTTGTTTGCCTTTTTAGTTCTTGGGGGAGCGGGGGTGGAAGAGAAGAATGTTCAAGTGAAGAATAGATACTTTCCTAGTAATATTTGAGACCCTTTGTATAAAACTTTTTCAATATACTTATATAGTACTGAAATACTTTTAAAATGTTACAAGAATTCTAAAACATCTTTGACTCTTAAAAATGAATTCAAAATATGTGTTAAATGTAATATTTAAAAAAGTTAATGTTAGCATAAGATAGTTGAACATATATATTTTTTTCCTTTAGGATTTTGGATTCCCAACTCAAGTCCCCAACTGTTAGTATTTCTCCTAAAAATGACCATGACTTTTTTTTTTTTTTTTTTGCGTCTTCAGTTGCAGAGATAACATATACCATCCGAGGCAACCTCTATTCTTTTTAATGTGTATGACATGACATCTTTCTAAGTAGGTGATGACCAGTCTGCCTAGACCAGCCAGCCTGATTTACTAATGGATTGCTGCCCAAGCTTAAAAAGGGAACCCCAGGGAATGCAGAATTTCCCTCAATTTCTTCAGGTTGTATCAGTGAAATAATGTCACTAGCTAAGATGATAAATCGGAAAACAGTCTTGTTAGAGTGAAAAGGTCCTAGTGACGAATCATTTTTGCAAAAAGAAGGGGGAAAAAATCATGTGAAAAGGAATAGTGGTTCCTCTTTATGTATAGTATGCCTGTATTATAGTTTTTATCAAATTGTGAACTTGTGTAATAGTATAATAGGAGATATTGTTGAATTTCTAACTGTTTATACATTTAAATTCATATATGTAATGTTTGTTTTATCAATTACAATCTGAATTTCTAAGCATGTTGACTTTTGCAATAAAGATGCAATATGGAATGGTTCACGATTGGAAAAAAAGAAAAGAAAAAAGATAAAAGTATTATGAATTTAAAAGAATTTGGAAAATTTATGAACCATTCCAAAAATTATAATAATCACCAAAAGAGCTGTAATTCTGGCTTGTTCTGGAAAGAAAGAAAATGTGTGTGTATGCTTGCTTGTGTGTGAGCATGAGTGAGTAGTGGATATATGTGTGTGTGTGTTTTATGTTGAGTTTGTATACATGAAAGAATGCCACTCTGAATTTGGGCACTGAAGTCTCCAGCTATGAAATGTTCAGTAGAGTAACTCCCTCAATAGGGTGGTCTTGGAAATGAAAGAGAAAGGGATTAGAAGTATTACTTGTGAGTGAGCTTTGATAGCCATATTTCTTTGTTCAGGATGGGTCTTGGTATCCCAGATATAAAGCACAAGAAATTTTATGAAAGCCATTGTTATCTTGAGGATATTCAAGATGCCTGCCAACAATATGGGAAAAATGTTTTTTTGAAGCAGAATAGAGAGAGAAGAAAGAACATGTTGAAGAGGTGACCTCTGGTGGAGACTTGTAAGGAATGACAGAAGGAAGCTAAGGACTGGGAGGTGATGAGAAACAGAAGTTTATTGCTTGGGCTTGTAGTTTCTCGTTTTAAAAATTGGCTTCTTACAGAACTTCCCTTTAAATATTCATTGTCTAAGAAGAGTCATTTTGAAGGTCTCAGCTTATCCAGGAAAATAACTAAAGAATGGGAATAAATTTCATTTTCAGTCTTTTCAAATAAACAGATTGCATCTGTATTTTATGAATTAGGTAAATAGTAAATAAGCTGTGTGACCATTTGTTTTGAATAGATGATAATTCTATATATGTTTATAATAGTTCTGGGAATTTTAGCAGGGACAAACAATTCTACACATGGTTATATCTATGTAATAGTCAAATGTTTTACTAAAATAGATCATTAAAATTACTGGTTTTGTGTGGGTTTTTTTAAACTAACTTTCATGTAAATTATTCTAAAGCTAAGGGTAAATTTTGAATCATGAGCCTCAGTATACTACCTAGTCTGGATTTAATTATGTTCCAGTATCAGTAAATGGAAGATAGGAGCATTTATGTCAACACTTGGGATCGTTTTAGATGGCAGAGTCAGGGTTGCTTATACCAGCACATGTGCCATTTTTGAGGGGGCCAGTGACCACCAATTCAAAACTAAGGCTATCAGCTGCTGGTGCATGTGTTATGAATCACCTTCATTTATGCTCAACTGATTTTTTGCAGCCAAGTGATCTCTTTTCTACAGGATCATCTACCATTTGGTTTCGTACCTGGTTCTGCAATCAACCTTAGGTTAACTAAACCATCCCTGCATTCTGATAGGTGACTTGATACAGGTAAAATTAAGGTCAGAATAGTGTTTGGGGACTGTTGCAAGGTATTTGCAGTTTGGGTGTACACTTTTTTTAGGCTACCTCTGCAGACTTTATTTGTTTTTGACAGTGGTGGTCATTGAGCATGATAAACATTGCTGAAGGCCCTATCTAATCCCAGAGCCCATTAGCTTGTTGTCCATGAACTAAGCCTGTGTTTCCTATATCACTTCATATAATTCTCATAGTTTGATATAGTGGTCTATTAGTAATTAAAATGATATAGTTATTTTTTATATAGGGCTACTGGTTTAGTATTTGATTGCTCAAAATTGTTGTTTACTTTATGTTTTGTCAGGGTGTCAAGGTTGGAAACAAGCCGCCTTAGTTGCCCAGGCCTGTTCCTGTTAAAAACTTCATAAAAGTGAATGTCTTGTTAACAGTTTTGTAAAGTCCTTGTGATTCCATCTTTTCTAAGTTTGCCCCAGAGGGCTATTAGTGTGAGATACTGATATATTTCTCCCAATTTGAAGTTAAATTAGATAATGACTAATAGAGGCCTTGCCCAATTCTTTTGGTTTCTTGAGGATGATTTGGCCTCAAGGTTGAGGCTGTGCACGTGATTAGTTTGAGCTTTTAGACTTAACACTGCCTGTTTATTTGTGTAAACATTTGTTCCTGTGTAAACTGTTGAGTCCTGGTTCTGGAACCACCCTCCAACAAAAGGTTTGTTTATTGTAGGATTCAAGTTTTTAACACTTAGAGCCTGTAGGGGGCTCTAGGAGGCAAAATATAGTCAGCCTTAGAGCAGTGACCATCTTTGAGAGCAACTCAGTGGAAAATATTTTTCATTGCAATCCAACATACACATACACCCCCAAACAAAAGCCTACCAAACAGGCCCTGGCTGGCATAGCTCAGTGGATTGAGCTCGGGCCTGCGAACCACACGATTGCAGTTTGATTCCCAGTCAGGGCACGTGCCTGGGTTGCAGGCCAGTTCCTGGCAGGGGACTCATGAGAGGCAACCACACATTGATGTTTCTCTCCTCCCCTTCCTCTCTAAAGCTAAATAAATAAAATATTTAAAAAATAATATTAAAAAATAAAAACAAGTATATATATATATATATATTTTAAAAAGCTTACTAAACAATACCCTGACTACTCAGTATGCACCTGAAATACTTTATTCTTGTCAGGACCCACTGTTTGGCTTTCAGAATTTCAGGTTAAAAAACATTAGCTTATTGAGGTACAGGGTGAATTAGCATTTTAAATCATCTCTTCTTTGCTGTGTTATTCTACTCAAAATACTATTTTGAGTATGAAATGATACAATTTAACATTCTGTATTTTGCTTGGAAAAGTAGTCTACAGTCTGAAATTAAAGGTGGAAATGTAAACATCAATGTCTGTTTGATGTTCTTGAACCTGAAGTTACTCTCTAGATTTTTAATTTTTAAGATGGACAACTGTGAGTGACTTAACTTGCCTGCACTTTTATATTTTTGTCATTATTTGACCTGGGAAGGGAGTAGAATACTGGTATATTGGTGCTACCTTTTACGATATTCACATCACTTTCTAGAAATTCTTTATAAAAAAAAAAAGACCTATTTGTGAAGTCCATATACCTATAGCTCTTTAGTGTCTGAATCAATAAAAGACTATTTGGTATTGAGTTTTGCATTTAGAGTCACCTTAGCTATCAGCCATCAGTGTATGCCAAGCTTGATATCTCTGTGAGAAAATTGTATACATTCCAGCCTTGTGCCATTACATGTCACCATTTTAAAACATTCTCTCCTAGGTTTATGAGAAATAGGAGATATTGATAGATCCCTATATAAAATATGATGATGTAATTCTTGCCACTTTCCTTAGGCATGTCATTTTTATCTTTACATGTCTGAGCTTTTCTAGTTTGTAAAATATAAAGGGGAAAAATGTGAAGAGATTAAGAATGTGTTGACCAGAATGTTGCTGTATCTTCAGAAATCCACAGAAGGAGAACCATTAAGTGCAAAGTAATGAAATCAGCCCTAATCATTGAAGTGTAAGTTATTTGTACATTTCAGAATTTGTCCTCTCTGTATATTCCTTTTGGGATTCCTTAAGCAATAAAACCTGACTTTCCTGTAATACCTTGGTGCTGAGTAGATATTTTCAACTTATGTGGTTGATAAAATTTTAAACTGTTCACTTAAAAAATACCTGGCATATAGGAGTGGATCAATAGTTTTCCTGCATCCACCCTGTGTTGGTAGCAGCCCTTGGAAGATGCTCTTACTTTCCTTGTTCAGCTTTGAACTTGGTTTAAGAGAGATTAAGTGCTACCCTGGAGGTCTCACAGCCTGTCATGGTAGGAGTAGGATTTGAACAGATCTGACTCCAGAATGCATGCTCTTAACCTCTGTGCTCTGCTGCTAATAAAATGGAGTATTGCAAGTCTGTGGAATATCACTGGTCTTTCTTATTAGTGTCTGTCAAACACTGCCATTCTGGTCCCATCTATGTCATCTGCCTTGGATTGGCACCATGCTCCCATGGGGAGCAGCAACAATATGCTTTTAGGTAGCATATTGGAAACCATAGCAAACTTTATATATGCTAATTTGTGGGGAAACATTTTAAAGTAATTTTCGGTGACCTCCATAAGGTACAGCCAGCCAATTTGATACATTTTACAGTAATTTGGCTATATCATAACATGTTTATTTTATTTTCAATTTTATCTTAAATAATTTCCTGTGGCAAACCAAATTATGATAATCTTGCAGTATTTCTATCTTGTTTCTTTGTGTTTTTCAATATTTCTGGTGCCTTCTTTTAACCTTGGCATTAAAAAAATCATGTTGTACATAAATAAGTTACATGCTTCAATTTAATGATGTTTTTCATATAGTATACTGAATTTCCTAGACAGAAAGTGCTGAGAATAGCAGTGTTCATTTATAGTTATGTTTATGCCATAGATTTTTTAAAAAGAATATATTCTCAGTGAATAGAACTGATGTTCATGTTCTATTGTTTATGAATTATTTGACTTCTGTAAGTTTTTTATTTTAATAGTGCTAGTCTAAATCCTTATGGATTTCTAATTTTAACTATTTTGGCAACTAAAATGTTTATTGACTACTAATTGTGTGGTAGTAATTGTGATCTGAAAAAAAACAAAAAAACAAAGTTGTAAGCACCCTTGAGAGAAAGGGAGCTTTTATTCTTGACAAATTTAGTGGCCACTGGGAATATTTCCAATGTGGTAACTGTATCAGAAAAATTGCTGAGACAAAATGACTATAACATTTTCTTGATAACAGTACATGTTACTAGAAAGGTGTTTACCCCTAAAAGTTGGGTTGTGTCATTGAAAAATATTTTGCTGTCATCAAATACTTAAAAATCATGTGTATTTTTAAAGCATTGTCAACATGTTTTCCTTTGCAGTATTAAAGGGGGGATTTTTATACATAGAACTTAGTTTCTGAAAATCATAGTTTTGTATTTTTTTTAAATTTCTACCAATGACTTTGAAGCACTTCTCTCCCTGTGATTTATTTAAATCCTAATAAATTATACATTTCTGCACATTAGCTATTCATGTGAAAATTATTTAGAGTTATCTCAATAGAACCGTGCTGTGTGGTCTCCTGAGGCCCCAAGTATGTCAAAGAAGTTTCATCCACTCTTAGTTCTATGTTTTCAAATGACTCCTGTTAATAAAGCAGATAAAGCTGAAGGGAAGTCTTTAAAGATTGAAGTGAATGATTAAAATCTACTTAGAAGTGAGAACTTATTTATGCAAGCACTCTTTTTTTTTTTTTAATAGCAAGCTTCTGTGCTGAGTTCCTAATATTTTTTGGAAAGTTATTTGTGAACTGTAGGCATCTTTTCTCAGAAATGGCTGTATCTTGAAAAAAAGAAAAGAAACTAGTACTTTCAGGTGTTCAGAAAACTTTGAACATTGTCTGTAGAAAAAATGCACAGCATATTTTGTTTCTCCTTTTTTACAACCCAGGAGGACTGGCTTTTCGTTCACTTTGAGATTTGATTATTTTCACTAGTAGTGGTTTTGTGCTTCATAAACATAGAGTTGGGAGAAAGGATTTCGTAGATGGTTTCACTTGTTTTTCTTTAGGGCTACATAAATTCGACACAAAATAGAAAAGTACAAAGAGTTTTGATTATGTTTGACATTTTCAGTTGGGCTATCATCATTTTTGCACAGAATGTGTGTGTGTGTGTGTGTGTGTGTGTACACCATAAATAAGAAAACATCAGACAGGGTAAAATATTCTGCACACAGAAGCCCTTGAATAACTCAAGTAAATGGCTTGAATAACCAGCAAAAATAATTTTTATTAAAAATCTATCTCTGCCTTTTATTTGGTTAATTTTTATTTCATTCACCACAGTCAGTTTTAATGGTGCTAAGAAATTGTTGTAAACTTGGAAAAGGAATTGTGAAGACTATTATCATTATTGTTATTATGTAAAGATTTTATTTTTAGAGAGTGTGGAAGGGAGGGAGAAAAACAAACATCAGGTGTGAGAGCAGCATCGATGGGGTGCCCCCGCAACCCAGGCACATGTCCTGACTGGGTATCCAACCAATGATCTTTTGGTTCACAGGCCCCTGAACCACACAGGCCAGGGCAAGACTGTTATTATTTCCCATGAGTTTTGTTTTTCATTTTACTCAAGCATGGTGCCATTTTTTGTGTATACTTTTAATATCAATCTGGAAGAAGGAGGGCAAGCAGAACACTGAGGACCCACAGTTCTGATGCAGGTAGTTCACCTCCCACCATTGAGTGGTCAAGAAAATCCCAGCCTTATTTCGTCCTTTCAACAACTCTGTGAGGTGCACTAGGCGTTTTCCCTTTTTGTGTAAGGGGAAGAGAGGGGTGTGTCACTTCCAGTCTCAAAGCAAAACCAACAATTGAAGCTCCCTTATATCTGAGTTCAAAGTAAGTCTTTTAATCATTGCTCGATACTGTGTTCATGTCCCAGTTCATGCTACCTGGGTGAACTGGGGTTAATTCATCTTTTGAATGCTCAGTTTACTCTCATAAAATGGGCATTTGTGCCCCGGCTGGTGTGGCTCAGTGGATTGAGTACCAGCCTGCAAACTAGAGGGTTGCTGGTTTGATTCCCAGTCAGGTCACATGCCTGGGCTGCAGGCAAGGTCTTCAGTAGTGGTCGCAGGAGAAGCAACCACGCATTGATGTTTCTTTTCCTCTCTTTCTCCCTCCCTTCCATCTCTAAAATTAAATAAAATCTTATTTTAAAATGGGTATTTGTTCACAGGATGGCAATAAATGTTAAGTGAGTTCGTGTTTCTGTAAGTTCTCTGTGAAATGTAATCCACTATTAGCAGACCTTTTTTTCTAATTTTTATTGAATTGTTTGAGTGGAGTTATTCATACCTACAGTTCAATTTTCTACATTGGATATTAAATCTTGTGGAACTGCCTAAATGTGTTGAGCAATGCTGGAGAAAAGAGAAAGGAATACTTCATACCTGAGTTTGCACTTCTACATTTCATTCATATGCCCCTTAATCAATTAGATGCAGACAAACAGACTCTAGGCAGTGCCATTTCTAGTCCTTAGTAATTTAAAATGTACATTTCATCTAGCCATGAGGTAGGTCCCGTTGCTTACAAGTCACTTACTGCAGATGGTTGGAGGGGTCTCTTTCCTGACCAGAATCCCCTTACCAGTCTTTCACAGAAGAACATATTTCTCTACATATTGATGCAGTACACTACAGAAAAATATTTCCCCAAAGTCTCAATCCCTTTGACCTGGGAATTCATTTAACAGTCATATTTCAGAATCACCCTTCCTGGCTGTTTTGTTTACTGTATGATCTGCTGTAGTCGGATAAATCCTTTAGTGTGAATCTCTTAAGTAAAATGAGATTGTTCCTTGTTTTAACAATGCTGTACAGTGTATATTCTTGTATATAAAATGGTGGTCCATGAACTATGCTTTAGGGTGACCATTGGGAAACAAAATAGTAAAATTGATACTATTTTGCATATAGATTTGGGGAACACTGGAATTAGCTGTTATATATATCATAGTAACATGTATGTGAAGTAACTGCACAAATTGCTCATGCATTTTGTGTTTCTAGATAAAAGGCAGAAAAAATACTTAAAAGCAAGCTGTCATTTTCTCCATCTCTACAAAAAAGTATCAAAGGTACTGAAAAGAATTCTGAAAACTATTAAGCATTTCTTTAGTTACATTGTAACCATTTAAGCAAATGTATTGATTTGTTGAACATTCTGGAAGATAAAAATTGCTTTAAACACTCAAGGAATAGACACACATTTTGTTTAGAGAGAATGGTACCTTCCCTGTGCTTGCTCCCCCCTCCTCACTCTTAACTTACCCCACCATCATCAGAGTGACCACAGGGAAGCATTTTCTTTTTGAGACTGTTTTTATAGCTGTTTTACACTTTCTCAGGACTGCAAGCCTTCCCACCTTTGAAACCCATTCCCTCTAGCAAAGGGTTCCCCTTCAGGGTGAAAGGAGGCTGTGGCCCCATGACTCCCTCAGAGATGGCCAGCAGCAGTAGGCTTCATTCACTAGGCCCTGAGGGGGGGCTCTGCCCAAAGGCCTCCCCCCCACACTGCCACCCGCTGCCACGGATGAGAATAAGTCTACCAAGACATGATCTGCTTGGGGAGGAAAGGTAGCCGACCTCTCAAAGGAGAAGGGGCAAGAGCCTTTTCCTCAATGGGCTTTTATTGGGTTCAGTTTGCATAGGAATACAGGTAAAGCTCATCAATCATTGTCAGGCAGTTAGGATCAAACAATAGATAACATACAAAGAATTATGAGGGCTTATTCTGAGATGGTCAGTTAGCTAAAAAGCTATAAAACTTTGGGAAACAAACTCATTTCATGCTTGGACCCTTATCAGAAAATTGAGGGCATTCTTAGTAAAGCAGGTTTCACAGGATTTAGTGCCCCTGGGGACCCTGTCCTTTCCAGCACAGGGCTGTACCCATTTCTGGCATCATTTCAGGCTTAAGTCAGGCAGGGGAAGTAAGACAGCCAAAAGATTAGAAGACTCCTTATAGACAGAATGAGGACTCAGGCTATGTCAAAGCCGAGGGGTGAGGGTCCATCACCCCCTTTTTCTATAGCCCCTCAAGTCCTTCCCTGAGGGCCCCCTCATGACTATGCCTGTGTTAGGTCGTCCCTCCTTTGAGGAATCTTACCTGTCATTGGCTAACTGGTCAGGCTTGGCCAAGCAAGGTGAAATAAAGGGGGTAGAGGCAGTGCCTCTGCCTGGGTGATAAGCTCTGTCTCCTTAGTGGCTTATGGTCCCAAGGTCTCTCACTCAGCCTTAGGCCTGGGGAGTTATAGCTTCTGAAACCAGGCAGAGTGGCTCCCAACAAGCCGCTTTGTTTTCTGCCTCATTCTTCCTTATTGTTGGAGTGATTAACTTAATGTGATTACCCAGAAGCCAGAGGTGAGATTGCACTTCAAATTTAAAATCAAAACGGGATAGCAGGAGTGAAATTTTTGATAATGGCTTTATCTAAACTAGAGCTGGAACGTTATGTGAAGGGGCCTATAATGGCTTTATCTAAACTAGAGCTGGAACGTTATGTGAAGGGGCCTTTTCTACTGTAATGAATATTACCTGTGGATTCCATTATAACACTGTATGGTAACCCAAAGGGTATGCACAAAGCCTATCTCCTAACCAACACAGTGCTTTCTTCAGGCATCAAACCTGAGAATCATAGGATCATTCAAACCTTCACAATGGTATAGTACTTTCCACCTGGGGTCATGGATTACAGGAGAGTTTGGTGCTTTCTCATAGGAAAAATCACTTGCTCATGTCACTCTTTGTAGTGGTAATGATACTGAACATCTTTTTGAAGGATTTATCTGCTGCATGGCATCAGAAACAAATG